TCAACCCCCCAATTCTCGGCCCTCCTCCACCTTGCTTCAATAGTCGCTTGTCTTTTAGTTTCAACTCACATGTGAACGCGGAGCGTCATTCCTGCCCTGTCAACAGGCCCATGTCCAAGCAAGCGGTGAAGCCCAGTTCATCGGCTTCCATTTGGAGCCCTCGATCCTCCTTCAGATTGGCATGCCTCAATGTTCGCACATTGCTTCAGATCGGTCAACAGGCAGCACTTGCCCGAACATTGGAGACCCTCTCTATCGATATCTGCTGCTTATCGGAGACCCGCCTGCAAGACTCGAGCTCTGTGCTCACTCTGCGATCCCCTTCAGATGACACCAGCAGCACTTTCTCATTGCGCCTATCCGGTGACGATGCAGCTTCGAGCACCGGCCAAGCCGGTGTTGGTATTGCCCTGAGTCCCTGGGCTGAAACTGCTCTGGTTGATTGGATTCCAATCAGTAGCCGGATGTGTACGGTCCGATTGGCTGGCTCGTTCAAAGCTTCGAAGTCGCGTGGGACTAACAGGTGTCTATTCGTTATCGCTGCCTATGCACCGACAAACTGTAGCGATGACTCGGTAAAAGACGACTTCTATCGTCAACTGAACGAGCTCCTTAGCCACAGAAGAAGCTCGGACACTGTAGTGCTGGCCGGGGATCTGAACGCTCAAGTTGGAAAATTATCCACTGATGAGCTGCATTTGGGCGGCCAACATGGTGTAGGCTCCCGTAATGATAACGGTGAGCGGTTACTTCATTTGTGTGAGGATGCTCGCTTATTCCTTGCGAGCACTAATTTCCGACACAGCACCCGCCGGAGGGTGACTTGGCGCCCACCAGCCTCGAACCAGCTATGGACGCAAATCGATCATATTGCGATAAGTTACCGATGGAGAGGCTGTGTCCAGAACTGTCGCTCGATTTGGAGCACATGTGTGGACACCGATCATGCACTTGTATGTGCTGACCTGCGGATGCGCTTTGGCGGACGCCCACGACGACGCTGTGAGCGCATTGACACCAGCCAACTGGCGAAGCCAGCTGTTCTGAATGCCTATCAAAGTACGCTGTCATGCGAGTTGGATAAACGCTCACTGGATGCAATTGAAGGTCACTGGTCTCATATTCACCAGACCTTACTTGCAGCAGGAAAATCCTCATGTGGTATGTCTAATAGCCAACATGGACATTGGGTCTCTTCGCAGTCTCTGGAACTTATCGATGCTCGCCGGCATATTCCGGCTGGAAGCGAACACAATGAAACTCGCAAAGAGCTCTGGGCAAAACTCCGTGCTAGCCTGAAGAGAGACCGCGAATCCTGGTGGTTTCATCGTGCGTCAGAGATGGAAATGGCCGCTGCCCTTGGTAACCATCGTAAGTTATTCTGTCTGATACGGGAAACGGGCAGCAGGAGACCTGGTGTTAGTGAAACAATTTGTGACGAGAGTGGCAGCCTATCCACAACTTGTCAAAACGCTTGGAGCGTTGGGCTGAGCACTTTGAAAGGCAATTTAATCGGTCGGAATTGTTAGATTTCTCGCCGGCGACTGATCGCCCCGCTCCCTGGGCTGTCCCTTTGGATCCACCCTCTCGCTCAGAAGTCGAACGTGAGATCGCACTGTTGAAGTTACATAAAGCAGCGGGACCAGATGATCTTCCTCCAGCCCTCTTCAAATTCGGGGGACCTGCTCTTGTGGATAATTTACACGAATTACTAGTTAAACTGTGGGAGCAGGAAACTGTCCCAACCGACTGGAGCCGCTCCGTTATAGTTCCAATTTTCAAGGGAGGCTCACGATCGGAATGCGGCAGCCATAGAGGAATCAGTCTGATCTCCATCGCCTCCAAATTGCTTGCCACTGTCATCCTTCACAGGCTGACTGGCACGCGTGAAAGCCAGATTCGTGAAGAACAAGCCGGGTTTCGTCGACGTCGTGGCTGCATTGACCACATCTTCACCTTGCGTCAGTTGTTGGAGCACCGTCACATATATTGGCGGCCCACCGTAGTCGTGTTCCTTGATATCAAAGGCACATTCGATTCGGTGGATAGACATGCACTTTGGGACTGTCTACTCAGGAAAGGTGTACCTGAGAAATATGTAAATATTATCCGAGCATTATATGCGCGTAGCTCGGGCAGAGTGAGGGCTTACGGCAAGCTGTCGTCTCCCTTTAATATCTCCAGCGGTGTGAGACAAGGATGCCCGCTGTCACCTTTCCTCTTTAACTTCGCTGTTGACGAAGTCATGGAAATCGCGTTCACAGGACACGACTTAGAAGGTGTGAATCTGCTCCCAGGAGAACGACTTCTTGACTTGATTATGCTGACGATATTGCCCTAATCTGTGACAGCTCCCAGACGTGCCAAGCGGCACTGGACAGATTAGCACTAGCTGTCCGTCGCTTCGGGCTTTGCTTCGCACCCTCGAAGTGCAAAGCGTTCCTCCAAGATTGGTCTGGACCGCCTCCTTCGCTGACCCTTGGTGGGGATCAGCTAGAAGTCGTTCAAAAATTCAACTACCTGGGAAGTTGTATCAGCGCCCGTGGGATTGAAGATGAGATCACGAACCGTATAGCAAAAGCTCGAGGCGCTTTTGCTAACCTTCGCCTTGGCGGCGGCGCGACATCACTCTCACCCTGAAGGGTAGAGTGTACAATGCAGCGGTACGTTCGACCCTACTGTACGGTTGTGAAACCTGGCCCCTTAAAGCAGCGGACCTGAAGAGGCTAGTTACGTTCGACCACCGATGCCTTCGCAATTTAGCTCACATCTGGTGGGAACACCGCGTGAGTAACGAGCGTGTTCGACGCATTGTTTACGGCACAGGAAAAGGAAATGAACCGCTCAGCACCGTTGTTTCACGCATCAGTCTTTGATGGCTCGGCCTTGTGTTACGCATGCCAGCCCACCGACTCCCGCGACGTGCGTTGTTTGCGCGCCCGTGGTGTGGATGGAAGAGGAGGAGGGGTGGCCAAGCGATGACTTGGTTGAGAGGAATGAAGGCCCTCACTTCTGAGCTGGCCTCGGTTGGAGCGTCTCGGCTCCCTGGTTGGGGTCCGAAAGGCGATGAACACGTTTTCTTGGACACACTTGCTGACATGGCAAGGAGTCGACCTCAGTGGCGTTCGTGCTGTGAGTTTCTTTGTCCCACCCCATCCCTCTTAGCCTCCCCCTCCAACCACGATGTCATTATTTAGCCTTATATAATTCTGCATAGTATTTTTTTGATGCACAGTAGCCGGCTGGTAGCTTACCGGAACGATGCCCATCCGTTACCGGTAGCTCAGCTGGCTTGCACCTGTTGCATTTTATTCTCCATTTTTAATTTAGGTATTGCGGCACAGTAGCTGAGGTGTTCCCCACCTCTAGCTAACGTGTATGATGATGATGATGATGTGATGATGATGATGATGACTGCACTAGTCGCGATGGAACTAGCACACTACAACATCGACATTGCGGCGCTCAGGGAGACCCGGCTCGCTGAGCACGGTAAGTTGCATGAAGCTGGTGCTGGGTAGGAAACGTCACCTCAGCACCACGTGAACATGTGGTCGGATTTGCAATATCCAATCGCTGGGTGATGGACCCACTGGCATCAGCGCGCGACTGATGACTGTTCGCCTAAGACTCGGAAGAGGTAAGTTTGCCACTTTTATAAGCACGTACGGTCCGAATAAGTGTTCTCCTGATGACACGCGTGATCAATTCTACTCAGTTGTCCTCCGTGATACGGTCTGTAGCAAGGAGCGACCGACTATTTCTGCTGGATGCTTTCAACGTGCGCGTTGGGCATGTTGCATAGGTATGGACAGATGTCATTGGTCCGCATGGAATTGGTACAGCGAATGTGAACGGTGACAGGCTGCTCTCACTGTGTGCCACTCACGGTCTGACGATCGCGAACACTCGGTTTGCACTGAGTGCGAGTGATATAGCAACTTGGACGCACCCACGGAGTGGTCACGCCCACCTGCTCGACTATGTCATCGTACGTTAGCGTGACGTGCGCATGACACGTGTACTGCGTGGAGCTGAATGTGGCACTGATCACAAATCTACAGAGCGACCATGGATTGCTTGCGCTGCACCACCCACAGCTCCAACGACACACCCTTATCCAGTGTTAAGCCGAAGGGATAAGACAGGGAGGCATGTGGATGGGAGCCACGTTTCATCAACGGAACCGGCCCACACCCCTTCACAGGCAAACACAAGCACGCTCTAATTGGGGAATCAAGCACATACAAGGCGGTGGCTGGACGGTAGTTCGCTCCACACTAATTGCAAGGAACCGCTCTTTGAGCCTGGCACGGCCACAAGGACCGTGCACCCGTTCCCTCCAGCACCGACCAACTGTCTCCTGGAGCCATTGTAGACGAGGTGGTAGGCACCTTGTCAAGCGCAAGCACATAGGTTATGTAAAGCAACAGCCAACCACTGGAACTGAAAACATCAAATAAAATATATCGAATAGAGCACACCACTACGTCGACATAACTCTTCGCTAAGAGTACATGAAATAAATTGGATATCAACAAATCCGCGATAAGTACAAAATGTCAGAAACAATATTTAAAAATGCCGCGAGCACGAAAATTTCACCAAGCTAACCACCTTCGTTACGCGACGTATGCAACTTACTATAAATGATTCTTCAGGTAAACATTATAATGAAGTCAGAGATAAGCATTAAAACAAGGTAGCAAACCAGCCACCTGAAATCAAGATTCAGCATGCAAGCACACGGTTAGTAAGTCGAATGAAAGCGCATGCAGCCTACAAACGCTGCGTTCTCTTCAGAACTCGTCCTCGTTTCGGTGTTAGCTCCCAGTGGCCATATATATATATATATATATATATATATATATATATATATATATATATATATAGCTTTAATTTTAAAATAAAGCGGGTAAAATGGATCCGTAAGAACCTCAATAACTTTCTTAACACGCTAATATTTTCCTATTTTCTTCATTTTCATGCACATGACCGAAAAGCATCGAAATATGAAGGGTGGTCGTCCACTGTGAAAGCAGAACAGTGTTTTAATTGTGAGTGATCTGATGTTGACTTTGATTGTTAACTTTTTGATTGACACTGTAGTTCAATGAAATCGGTAATTTATTGCCCTCTTTTTCAGTGCGTGAATACTAGGGGCCCGTGTTGATTGGACCGATGTATCCTGTTACTTAGAGGTACTATTGACACTACGGTGATACGACATCCTGTCGTAAGGTTCATCGAAGTACAGTCTCTCAGATGTTTTTTAAGTGTTGGGAGGCTATGGTGTACCGTAAATTCGAGGGCACCTGTATACACATGTATCAAACAGAGAGGTCGAAGCGACTACAGGTGCTTTACCATCTTGTTTTTTTCCCACTGTCTTGATCTTTTTAGGCGGTGCATTAGTAATTTGCACTTACACTTCCCCGCCATACAACCATAACAGCCCCACTGTTGAGAACTAAAAGTGGGAAGGGGAATCTTTTACGGAACACGTGGGTGAGTCATAAGATTGTGCCATTTTCTTTAGGGCAGGTATAGTTGTCAACACAGGAACATGTGTCATACATCAAAATGAAGTTGGTCCTTTGTGGGTCACATCCCTACTTCTCAACATGGTCACCGTTTCTCCCAATAGCAATGTTCCACCTTCGAATGTGAGCATGTGTCCCTGCCTCATGAAATTCCGTTGGCTGTTCTTTGAGTGACTTCTTCACTGCAGTTTTCCCTTCCCCGTCATTGGAACACATTCTCTCGAATACACGTAATAGGTGGTGAAACATGGCTTCACTGTTATAAAGCGGAATCAAAGGGGCAGTCAATGGAATGGCGCTACTCTACGTCACCGCAATCGAAAAAATTCAAATCGCATGTCAGCTGAAAAAAATCATGGCGACTGTCTTTTGGGATGCCGGGGGTGTCATTCTGGTTAATTTTTTGCCAAGAGGAGAAACAATAAACTCTGAGGTCTACATGGAGACACTGACAAGTCTCAGAGCAAGACCCCGATGAGTGATACACAGCTTGTCAATCGACAAAGTCCTTCTTCTGCACGACAATGCTCGACCACACACAAGCATCAGGATAAGGGAGACAATCGCTCCATTCGGGTGAACACTCCTTCATACTCACCAGATTTAGTGCCTGTAGACTATCATCTATTTGGCCCCGATGAAAGAAGAAGGTTTGAGAGGCAAACATTATTCCAGTGACGATGGAGTGAAAACTGCGGTGAAAAAGTGGCTCAAAGAGCAGCAAACTGAATTTTACGAAGCAGTGACACATGTTCTCCTTTGAAGCTGGAACATTGCTATTATGATGAACGGTGACGTTGTTGTGAAGTAAGGATGAGTAAGGATGTGGTCCACAACGGATCAGCTTCTTCGTGTGTTGATAACTATACCTGTTTTAAAGAAGATGACATTACTTTTTGACTCATCCTCCTAGTTGCCATAAGCATGCATCTAGGTGTAGAGCGCTTGCACTCTACCACTTACACTCGATCACAAGTAGCCTACAGTTGTATTAGGACAGGATGTTGCCGGCGAGATAGCCTGCTAGGGGTTTACAGATAATCGTGTTAACACCAGCCTCACCCTACAGAAACCTTGGGATCAGACACACTTGAAACAAGCATTGTTGACAAATGACAGCTCTCTAGTGGTGCCGTTTGCGATTCATCATCTGCAATTCATCCGGTTATGCACAGGCTTGGTCGCGTGAATTCCTGCTTAGAAAACGAGGCGGACGGTCAACATCCAATTTAGTTGTCATTTACTTCACTCTCCTTAGAGCATCTCAGTTCAGGTAAACTATGCTAGCCCTCCACACCGATAAGCTGTGGGCAGACATACGTTCTGTCTTATTGTTATCTGACTTTTGGACCTGAACATAGCCAACTAATAGTCACTTACGCACCTCACCTTTGGGGATGTACTTGTCGCTGGTGACACACTTCTTCCAACAAGGTATCCTTTCTGTTTGCCGTCATATCAATTAGTGCATGTGTCCCGGTGGTTTTCGCTTCCGGTCTAATCCGACGCATATGTGAGGCGTATGTTCATCTTAGAATTAGCATTGTATCCGTTTATTATTTTGGGCCTACTCGAGACTGATAACCCAAATTCCTCGTTGGTTCGATGTGCTTTTCGGCCGTATCAGGTATTACCTTTGTTACCACGGTCAACTGCATTCTCCCTGGCCAATGTCACCGTAATTCTTTTGCGCGCTGTCACTGCATATTCTTTCTCGCAACCGAAGCTGTTGTCTTGACCTTTTGATGCAAATTGTGGTCGTTCGGTTAGGGAAGTATACTTGTCGAACCCGTGTGCATATCCCGCAAGAGATAATCGTCTTCCAAAACTCACACTGCGATTCATTTGGGATACTCGCTTACTCCAAATTCTACTCGTTTACGTCCCTTTGACTACGTCCGGTGTTTGAAGGCAAGCATGGAATTAACTCCATGTGACTGATTTCTTGATGCTCGCTTTGTCAGCTGACCGTCTCACAGATCTATCTGGCTTCTCACTTGCTTCAGGAGCTGTTGTTGAAACTTTCCATTTCCTCGTTTCTTGACAATGATCTGCTACTACTTGGAGACCCTTCTGGTTGACAATCTGCTTGCATAGCTGTCATCACTTGCTATACATGCTGTTAATGAACTCATCATTGACGACGATAGCTACAAGCGTAGTAAATCGGTACAGGGTATGGCTGCTATTCATCTGACACCATCTGTCTTCAAGTACTGTACTCAGCACCAAAATGAAATGTGTATTTCTCGACTGTGTGAGTTATAGTCCAACTACTTGGACTGTTCATTTGATGCAACATGATCTCAAACTGCAAATGCTATTTCAAATCTTCCGGAACAATTCCAAATCATGTTTTTGGGGAGTTCAATCGGTAGAAATGATACAAAGAAGGAGAGTTTAAAAGCAGGATGAAAGTGGCTATTGAGGAAAACACAGTAGAATCAATACGGCTATTTTTGGAACCACGGGTTTTTCCGCACTTAACGAGCACAATGCTCTAACGGTACTACTCCGAAATTTCGCGTCCATCGCTGCTTTCCGCACGCATATCAATACGTGTGCCTCTATACACACAGCACATAACATCAGTTACCCGAGTTTTGTGATTTGCATTCGTGACCTCGCTATTTCACCTTACAATTTGTTATGAAGCGAGTCGTGTTCTATCACTGTTGGACACCGCAGCTCTAGCGCACATTTCCCAACTTATCCTTGTAGTTATTTCCTTTGAATATAGAGGTTTGTAGGCTATCCTGTCTTTCACCCTCTCAATTTTGAGCACTTCCCCGCCCCCCCCCCCGTTACAACCGTGCATGATACTGGTGCATCTGTTCAAAGTTGAACGCTTTTTGCAAACTTGCTTCTCTCCGATTTTTCTTGGTATGCCACCATACTTGCCATGCTACTTGGATAACTATCTAGCCGATCAATGTACATATGACGCATCCAGGAGCTGATGCCCCACAACACTCATCTGTATTTTGCGTAACCGCTCTGTGAACCCGTTCACCCATTTGCCATAGTCCTAGCACATCAACACATCCGGGACGTAACCCGCTCAATAGGAACTATATCCGTTTATTTATTTAACATAATGTGTATGTATCTATCACATGCCGAACCAGTTATTGTACGATTATTAATTGAGGGCCATCACACCTGATCTCTTCGTACATATCTGGTCACTTGACCTTTATTCGCTGCACAGATGTCCCTGGGCATGGGAAGATTCTTGGTCCCCTGGGAGTGGTAACAGTGCGAAGCTATTATGTCTATGGATGATGGTGCGTGTGAAAAACATATTGTCGTTGCTGAGGAGGAACTTCTTGAACTACCTCTGCCCACATACAGCTGTGAGTTCTGTGGCTTGAATGTGAAGACGAGAGCCAACTTGCGTGCACATCATGTCAAAACCCACAGGATCCTTAAGGTACTCACCCGCATCCACCCTAATTGGACTTCTCCGTTCTACCACAGAGTGACTCGGATGTTGCATTTTATACGAAACAACGATGCCAATTCACTTACGTTTACCATTGTCCCGTGGTGCCTTGCAGGCACAACATCGGTGGTGGTGCGGGCTTCAGCACCTCTTCTCGGCTGAAACAGGTTCGTTTTTTAGTTTACTTCATACACATTAATTTTGACTGATTTCAGCATTATCAGAATGTGCACATGCACAAGTCTTACAAATGCGACAAGTGTGGTTGCCTGTTTTCCACTCCATCCAATCACGCTTACCATATGCGCTTTTGTGGCAAACTGTTTGTCTGCCCCGTCTGTCCGCGGAGTTACTCCTTCAAAAAACACCTAGATCAGCACTTTCGTCGGAGTGGTCATCAACCTGTTGACAGACCGTATAAGCGTCTAAAAAGAGCTTCACAACCACCGGATCAACGTCAGTCGTGTGTTGAAATCCGACCGAACGATCTACCTAAACTTGTGTCCTCATTTTCCACATCATTCACTTCCCGCGAGGGCGGTGTTTCCGCAATTAGCGATCCAACCACTGTGATGGCTCCGGCAGCAGCCCTATCATCCCCGTCGGTTATACTTCCGGTGCTTATATTTCCATTTCCTATGTACTGCTCGGGCGAATCGGCTCAACTTGGTTATCCCGTGTCCGCTACCGATCAAGCTTGTTTGACAGGAAACTTGCTTCTGACTCAGTTTGGTTATTTTGCTTCATCTGATCCGTCGTGCTCGTCAGGAACGGAGAGCATCATCACCACGCAATTATCGAAAGAGGTGAGCACAAACAACGCTTGCTCATTGTTCCTTTTTGACTTTGGTCAACTGGGTCACGGCAATCTCATTGTCCCTTTGGGGGTCCCTTAGGGCTCTATTCAGCTCAAACTATAAACTGTAATGCATACACCGATGCACTGGATCAAGTGGTCCTTAATTATATAAAAAGGATGATAACACTGGAAACGACAATGACGACAATTCACAGTAGAAGGATGGGGGTTGAAATCATCACATTTCCAGCTGAGTTGAAAATGATAGAGTGTCACTTTTTTCGTAGCTGCGCCAAATCTCGTACAATAGATTGGCACTGACGTGGCTGGTTCAGGGGCCTCCATTCAAGAGAACGATAATCATCAACCCGGTTCAGCCATTCGATGCAATTCCTCATGTTACCTTGTTAAATCATTCGGATTTCATCCGAACGAGCGCAATATATATATATGTATATCAATAATAACAAGTAATAATTTTTCTTCTCAGTTTCACGGGACATGCCTTTTTTGACATGATCAATTGTTTCGCCTGATCTTCACAGGATAGATCGAATGTTAGGCAGAAATAGGAATCATATTTATACCGGTGTTTTCACCTCAAAGCTCCAAATGGATGTAGAATACTTCTTGACGTCCTGACAGAGAACTCCATGTACGGACAGAACTGTTTTTTATGATGACGGATGAAGAGCACTCGTGTAGTGTGATAAGAGGAGCATTAAAACTCCTACACACTGGGTTGTTTTAGAAAGTGGTGGGGAAAGTCAAATTACACGTTTGTAGTTGCGATCAATGGTAGGCGAGATTCGGTAGGTCCGCGCCTTTTTGTAGTGCCTGCCTGGATTGAAAAGCAAGGCAGCGAAACAGTGGATAACTTTTGTATACGTCCACCGTCGGAAACAATCTACGGAACTTGTTGTCTCTTGTAGCTCAGTTTTTGACACAGGCATCTGTTTCTGCTAAATTCCCTATGAGTGGATGTCAACTACGAATTGGTACGAACTTCACTCATTACTTATTTTGTTTGTCGCTTGGAAAATACCAGCAACTTTAATCGGTGGCGCAAACTCAGAATTGACTGTGGAGATATCTGGGTCATACATCATTACACATGTTAGCTAGAGGTGGAAAACACCTCAGCTACTGTGCCGCGAAACACAAAAGAAAAAAATGCAATCGTTGCATGCCAGCTGAGCTACCAGTAACGCATGGGCATCGTTCCGGAAAGCCACCCGCTTGCTACTAGGCGATAACAATTATGTAAAGATTATATTATACTAAGAAATGAGATCGTGATTGCAGCGGGGGAAGCTTAGAGTGATGGGCAGGAACAGAGAAACAGCATGAACGCCATTGAGGTCGTATCCTAGCCATGCCATCAAGTGTATTCAACCAAACGTGTTCATCGTCTTTCGGACGCCAACCAGACGGCCGAGACGCTCCAAACAAGGCCAGCTTCAAAGTGACAGTTTTCCTCTCGACCAAGTCATCGCTTGGCCACCTCTTATCTTCTTCCATCCACACCTTCGGCGCCTAAACAACGCACGTCGCGGGAGCCGGTTGAATGGCATGCATAACACCTAGCCGAGCCATCGGAGGCTGGTGCTTGAAGTGACGGTGCTGAGCGATTCATTTCGTTTTCCTGTGTCGTAAACAAGGCGTCGAACACGCTCGTTGCTCACGCGGTGTTCCCACCAGATATGTGCTAAATTACGAAGACATCGGTGGTCGAACGTAACTAGCCTCTTTATGTCCGCTGATCTAAGGGGTCAGGTTTTACAACCGTACAGTAGGATCGAACATACCGCTGCATTGTACACTCTATCCTTCAGGGTGAGAGTGATGTCGCGCCGGCGCCATAAGTGGCGAATGTTAGCAAAAGCGCCTCGAGCTTTTGCTATACGGTTTATGATTTCATCTTCAATCCCACGGGCGCTGATACAACTTCCAAGGTAGTTGAATTTCTGAACGACTTTAGCTGATGCCCACCAAGAGTCAGCGCAGGCGGTCTATGCCAATCTTGGAGGAAAGCTTTGCACTTGGTGGGTGCGGAGAAAAGCTCGAAGTGACGGACAGCCAGTGCTAATCTGTTCAGTGCAACTTGGTACGTCTGAAAGATGTCACAGATGAAGGCAACATCGTCTGCATACTCCCAGTCCAGTAATCCTTTATCTAGGAGTAGCTTTACACCTTCTAATTCGTGTCGTGTGATCGCGATTCCCATGCCTTTGTCAATAGCGAAGTTGAAGAGGAAAGCTGCAAGCGGTTATCCCTTTTCTCACACCGCTGGAGATAATGAAGGGCGGCGACAGCTTGCCGTAAGCCCTCACGCTGCCCGAGCTACGCGCCTAATGTGCGTGGATAATATTTACATATTTCTCGGGCACACCTTTCCTGAGTAGACAATTCCAAAGAGCACATCGATCAACCGAATCGAAGGCACCTTTGATATAGAGGAACACGACAACGGTGGACCGCCACTATGTGACGGTGCTTCAATAGCTGGCGCAATGTGAAGATATGCTCAATGCAGCCACGACCTCGACGAAATCCGGCTTGCTCCTTGCGAATCTGGCTTTCCCGAGTGCCAGTTGGTTTCTGATGGCTGAGAGAGGCAAGCAATTTGGAGGCGATGGATATCAGACTGATTCCTCTATGGTTGCCGCTTTCCGAACGCGAGCTTTCTTTGAATATCGGAAGAATAACCGAGCGGCTCCAGTCGGTTGGGACAACTTTCTGTTCCCACAGTTTCACTAGTAATTCATGTAAGTCATTAACAAGAGCAGTTCCTCCGAATTTGTAGGGGGTTGGATGAAGATCATCAGGTCCCGCGGCTTTATTTAACTTCAACAGTTCGATCTCACGTTCTACTTCTGAGTGAGAGGACGGATCCAAAGGGACAACCCAGGGAGCAGGGCGATCAGTAGCCGGTGTGATATCTGACAATTCCGGTCGATCAAATTGCTTTTTAAAATGCACAGCCCAACGCTGCAAACGTTTTGACAAGTTGTGGATATGCTGTCCACTCTCGTCACGTATAGTTACACTAACATTAGGTCTCCTGTTGCCCGTTGTCCGTATCAGACGGAATAACACGATGGTTACCAAGGGCAGCGACCACTTCCATCTCCGACGCACGATGATACCACCAAGATTCGCGGTCTGTCTTCAGACTAGCACGGCGTTTTGCCCGGATGTTTCTGCGAGTCTCATTTTGTTCGTTTCCAGCCGGGATGTGCCGGCGAGCGTCGATAAGTTCCAGAGACTGCGAAGAGACCCATGTTCATGTTGTCTATTGAATTTACCACATGAAGATTTGCTTGCTGCTACTAATATCTGGTGAACACACGACCAGTGACCTACACTTGTATTCACTGAGCGACTGATCAGCCCTGACGCCAGCGTGCTTCTATACGTATTCAGAACACTTGATTTCACCAGTTGGCTGGTGTCAATGCGCTCACAGCGTCGTCGTGGGCGTCCGCCAGAACGCATCCGCGGGTCAGCACATACAAGTCCATTGTCGGTGTCTACACATGTGCTACAAACCGAGTGACAGCTTTGGACGCAGCGACTCCAGCGGTAAATGATCGCAATGTGATCGATTCACGTCCATGGATGTTTCGAGGATGGGCACCAAGTCACTCTCCGGCAGATGCTGTGTCGGCAATCAGTGCTCGGAAGAAATAAGCGAGCCTCTTCACACAAACGAAGTAACCGCTCACCGTTATCATTACGGGAGCCTACACCATGTTGGCCGCCCAGATGCAGTTCATCAATGGTCAACTTTCCAACTTGAGCGTTCAATCTGCAGCCAGCACTGCAGTGTCCGTGCTCCTTCTGTGGCGAAGGAGCTCGTTCAGTTGGCGATAGAAGTCGTCTTTTACCGAGTCATCATTCGAGTTTGTGGGCGCGTAGACAGCGATGACGAACAGACACCTATTAGTCTCGCGCGACTTCTAAGCTTTGAATGGGCCAGCCAATCGGACCGCACACATCCGGCTAGTGATTGGAATCCAATCAACCAGAGCAGTTTCAGCCCGGGGACTCAGGGCAATACCCACACCGACTTGGGCTTTGCTCGAAGCTGCATCGTCACCTGAGAGGCGCAATGGGAAAGTGCTGCTGGTGTCACCTGAAGTGGATCGCAAAATGAGCTCAGAGCTCGAGTCTTGCAGGCGGGTTTCCGGTAAGCAGTAGATATCGATCGAGATGATCTCTAATGTTCGGGCAAGGGCTGCCTGTTGACCGATCTGTAACAATGTGCGTACGTTGAGGCATGCCAATTTGAACGATGTTCGATTTTTACAAATGGAAGCCGATGAACTGGAATGGACAGTTTGGTTGGACTTGGGCTTGTCGACAGGGCAAGGATGACTATCCGTGTTTGCATGTGCGTTGAACCTTGCATATAAACTCCTATCAAAACATGGTGGGGGATGGCAAAGAATTGGAGGGTTGAAACCGGTGGGTATAAAAAGTGGAGTGGTAACGGGACGATAATTGTGAAAATGTGTAAGAGTGGGGAATAAGAAAATGGGAAGGCTTGAGCAGTGGCCTCCAAACCTCTTTTCACCCTGCTGGATGCAACAGATAGGACACCGTTGATTATCCTCTGCGTTGACCAGGGTATCAGAAACTTATTTGTGGAAAGATTCATTGTATTGCGTGGGCAGGATACTGTCAGGTTGCCCAGGCCTATACAGGAGAACGATTAGGTTTCTCAACCAAAACCTTTAGTCCAAAAACCTGATTGTAAGGCGACATTTTTGGTAGTGGACTACAAGGAATTCGTTTTAAGGAATAAGGAGCCACCCTCATTCCAATCGTTAACCTGGAGGACCAGAAGGCTGAGTTTGTCTGGCCTCTAACCATTGACTACTCTGGTATGATTGACTCTGAAGGTGCAAAACACACCCAGTATAGCTCAGTGGATCGCTGAGGCGCGCAAACCATCGCACCACGGTAAGGTCCAGCCTCATTGTGACGGGATACTGAATACTGACTGCAAATAAACAATACGATGGAGACTATGGTTGTCGAGCCATATGTATTGAATGCCAGTGTGTAGTGGTAATGGATGATATTTAGAAATAAAGCATCCTGTCACCAAATCTCCGATAGTCAAAGCGACAGTAATTCTGAGCAGATTAGTACGTCGCAGTTATCGAGTGCATCTGTTGGTGTCCAAATTATCAAGCCATCCGCAAACAAGACACAACACAATCAGAGAACCTGAGATATTGCTTTGATATGGATCAGGTACATAAATGACCCCACTATCGTGTCTCCGTATGCGCTACTGGTGAAAAGATACCAACCGGTGGGATAGTCATCTGCCTGTATCCTTCATTTTCGCCCAATGAGGAAGTCACTGCTGCAGTGAACCACCAATACTGTCCACCAACCAACCTATTTAGGAGGGTCTCATTGTTTGCTTTGTCACTGTTTTGCGGGAATCAATACAGATCACGCCGACAGACTTTCACCTGTTCTACACTTGTAACCATACAGCAACAGATTGGTGATGCGTAAGCGGTCGTTCATGAAACCGTGCTGTACTGGCATCCGGAGGTCTTTCAATTCCAACAGCTGCATCGCACCCTTCTTCATGCATCTCAACTACCTAAACTCATCCTCTTACCGGTAACTTTATGTCTCACCATTTTCAAGGTGAACTGAGACTTTCTAACGGGACACGAGCCTCACTAATGCACAATGCGGCAACCTCGGATGCAGCATGGATTATATAACAAAATAAGGAGGCTGATCGATTAGGTCTAGTGCTTTGTAGGCTCTTCTGAATACCGGTATGTTTACCTCCAGTTCTCTGAGTGTGCTTTGCATTTTTGAGCTGTAAAGTGCATGTCTTTGACGTTCGACCGATTTGGTCGGCCCGTAGCCTAGTGGTAACGAGCTTGTAATCTTGCAGCGCTGGTTTGAATCCGCGTAGGGATGGACGTCTTCGCGGTATACTCAACCCGCGTGCAACTGGTAATGGTCGCACGGCAGCGAAGCGCCGTTACGGCGTTAACATGACACATTATTATTAGTAGTAGTATTAGTATTCGACCGATTTGACAGCAGTTGCATAACAGTGAGATCCGGCCGAGTGAAAACTGGGTTGTCCGTGTGCTCCAAGTTTCATAATCAATCACCTAGTAGATCTTTTCTTCCAGGGTAAGTTGCAGAAGGTGGTTGAATCATTCGTGGTCATTTCACTCGCATAATTAGTTAAAATGGAGTGAGGTTGAACAACACTGACAGGCACTGCTCGCCCTTTTACTCTCATGGGAATCTTTCCCATTGACCCTCACACGACATCGGGAATCATGGGACTGAAAAGGCATATTTTCTAGATATGAAGGACATTTTGCAAATTGGTATGCGGCTATATTGAACTGAGCTCTGAACATGCCCCAATTCCGCTCTCAGAGCTGCCACTCGAGGACCGCCGCTATTCTGACGGTAATGAGATGGCACTCAGTCATTTTTAGTTAAGCACTTTCAGTTCTACTCTGGTTCTGCGTCTCCCTATCGGCATGTTCACCTACGAAATTTCACCTATTCCACCCGGTCCTTTAATCAACGTAAACCACTGTGCACCAAGTGAGCAACTAGTGTCTAAGTTGAATTGACTGCTACTATGGCAATTCACGCGTGTTTCTCTTAGCCAGCTGTTCCCCCCGTGGATCTCTCGTTAGGAGCAATGCGCGAAGTAATGAAACGCTAACTGAATCACTCCCCCTTATGGTTACATTAGGCTAGAAATGACTTGCGATGAAGAACACAGATCTTCTGTAATGGTAATCCCCTCCCGTTACAATTTGCAGTTGTTGTGACTGCAGTTGTCTTACGCATTTGCTGTCCTCCATTATCTGGTTTATCTGGTCACAAAATCCTGCTGCGATTTCACGCGTGGTATCTGTTAGTTCACATCACTCTTGCCGGCCGATCTCCGCTCGCTCTCATCGTGATCCTAGTTGTCACTATTGGCACTCACTCGAAAAGTCCATTAATCTCCTCCGGGTTTCATGCATTTGATTTGTTTTTCCTGTTTCTACGCTGATGCTTTGCTCATCTTTAAGGCAACCAAGCTTATTTCACTATAATGATAGTCCCCAAAACATGCTTAAATTGTTGGGCTACACACTGGTCCACCACAGGGCACTGTTTCTTATCATTATCATGGTTCCCGCTACTCAGTGTTTCCAGTACTGGCACACATCCTTCCTCTTTTTCAATCGTCTAGCTTGTCAAATTGGAACAGCAACCAGTAGAAACCACAAATCCATGTATCTCACTTGAAGTTTCTCAGTATGACTTCGCGTGCCAGTTCGACAATTCATTTCCGTCATCCGAAACAGGAACGCAAACCGAGGCTGCTTCTTTTAGTCAAGAACTTACACCTTTGGAAGCATCTGCTCCTTCTGTGTCGGTCAATACCTGCACAGATGAAGATGATATCAGTGCTTTTATTGGCAGTCTATTTTGTGACGCCAGTGTGGAGACTAGATATCCTCGTCCTCATCTGGTTCATGGTGAGTCCTTTGTGTTTCCTTTTTCCTCGTGCTCCATAGCATCGTCGGACATCCCATTTCCGGACTCCACGACCCTCCGATCGTGATAGTCGATGTGTATTACTCTAACTCAATCAAACTATCGAGGGACAATGGTGATCGAACAGAACAAATTCGCCGATCGCTAAACATCATACCCGTATTGACGGCAAGATACACAGGGAAGGCAATTGCTAGACCCATAGCGCCTGTACAACTATCGGAAGACGCAAACACATGCTTACTACTCTTATGATTCGGGCTCAGAGCCACGCGCTGTACTTCCATGTGCTTTCTACATCCATCTGAAACCGTTTGATAATGCACATGATTTTGCAATCGACACAGAGTCTGCTTTTGGGTACAGATTTGAACCGGCGTATGGACGGGTAACCTCATAGCATCGCTGCTCGTACTCAATGGCTGCTGGTTTCGTGGCATCGGTATAGCGTTCCGGATGCCTTCTATCAGTGCATGCTTTGTAGGATTTCCATTCTTCGTTTCTGTTTAGTGGTTGTCGAGCAACACTTCGAAAGTAAAATCAGAGCCTGGACAGCGGTTATAATCTGTTATTCTTAAATCATGTGTACTTCACTGCGCCGCCGCCTTCTAGTGGCTATTTCTTGTTGTCGCCCCCCCCCCATATTGTTTACCTATGTTCATTGGCCTTTTTGCGCGTTCTTCCTCTGTGATCGATCCAATCCACGCCTGCCCTGCCCGTTGCCACTTTCAGCTTTATTTACACTAATCCGCGTCAATCCTACGTTGTCCGCCTGGCCCATGTGGTCCTGTTCAACTCGTATTGGCGGCACTTGATTCACTTTCATTTCACTCACCTGTCGCCGGCTTCGATAGCCTCCTGCACCATTACACGCTGTGTCATTAGTCTGCCTTCGTTACCGTTCACTCGCTGTGCTTCAGGTCACTGTGACTTGCTCTTGTCTGCGCCCACGCTGCTTCTCTATTGCGCTGCGTCGAATGGTTACTGTTGTGACCCTCCGACCCGTATGATTGTGATTAGCTCTCCCAGGCAGCTCTTAATTGGTTTCCTGTTCATCGGTGCTGTGTCGATCTCGTTCATCTTTGCCGGCACCAGCTATCACCACGTTAGATATCATCTCGAGATATCATCTCGCGTACTGATTGTTAAACTACAGAACACATGGAGTCAAATCCGTTTTTATTTGCAAATTTCTTCTGTCGTGATCAACGGGAATTAAAAAGGTAAGATTCACAATGCACTCCATGCGAGTGCCACTGTGAATTCTCTTGGAAGCCGACACAGCACTACACATTTATTCATCTTATCATGTTTGTATGAGAAGCCATTGTGAAGTACTTCATACTTTCACCTGTACCGTTTCTAACCAGCCGGTTGCAATTCGAACTTAGGTGTCACAGTGCACTGTTGGTCACAAGGAGAACCATTCGACACAGTCAATCAGTGATTGTCACCTAAACCGGACCCCGCGTGATTCATTAATTTACGTTGCGTGGCACTTCCCAGATGTTTCCACAGCCACCGTTGCCACATAGGTTAATGTTTAGGGGTCCAACAAACAGCTTCACATTCATCATTGGAGTTCGGGGTAACCGTCTTCCCTGAAAACTTTGCACAAGTTGCGAATTCAGCTCGATTTGCGTGGAGCACGGGCACCAAGTGCTGTTTTTGTGATGTTGAAAGGTCACGCCCTTATCTAGTAATTTGTTGTAGTCCGCCTCAAACTAGGCAGATCCTAGTTTATCAGATGCAAATCCATCAGTCCACAGCTTCAGTTGACCATGATCATAGGCGCGTTTTCTAACGTACACAAAAAGCGCGTCACTCTCTATTGACTGGCACACAGTTTGTGAATTTTCAGAGGATAGAACTGACCTCTAGCGCGACGGTTTCCCTTAAAACTAATTGTATACTGCGCTTGGTCATCAGTCGTGGTGGTCCGTCATCATTGGGCATGGCCTATCGGCATTACCCACTGACTTCTAAACAGGCAGGTCATGGGTTCCATTCCCTTAATAGTAGTGGGCAAATGCGCTACTGATGAGTCCCAGAGTAGAACGAAACGGTCGTCCAGTACCTTCCCCGAAGATGCACGTGTCTGTCTGACTGGCTACAATAAATACTTCTGAAGCAGCACCAAAGTTCATCTACCAAATTTCAACGGACGAATTGTCCTGAGTTCTCAGACTACGTGTGCCACACCTTAAGAGACATCATTGAGACCATGCGACCGCACTCAGAGTTGCTCCGCACCTCGTTGTGTCGGACTATTGAGTTAAAGATTTCGGGTGTATTCCCTCAGGAGGTCACTTCACTCATCAGCAAAGCTGGTATGGCTTTCCAGTAGCTCAACCATCTATAGAGAGTGCAGGCCGTCAGTCTTTTAATGAAAAGTAGGATGTATAACGCTGCGAGAAGTCTGGTGTTACTGTATGGATCAGAGATTTTGCCAGTTCTCATGGAAGGCACTAAACGCTTGTCCGTCTTTGGACACCAACACTTGCGGCCTATTGCTTACATCCGGTGGGAACAATGTTGGTGTTTGGCATGAAACCTTCTGGTGCTTTATTGAAGTAGCTGTTGAACTAGAACCGCCTATGTTTTGTTCTAGCATAGCCTCGAATGAGCGCCCACCTATGTACAATTCTACCTCGAAGCGTAGTCTAGTTCAACTAGCATCATCCGAAGGTAACGTCCCTTTTCGGCGTGCATTTTCACCAAACCGTTGTCTGGTGAAAATGCACTGTATTACAACACTGTATTACAACTTGCTCCTCAGCTGCTGTTTCTGCTAGTCACTTTCACGCGACTTCATCACACGCCAATTGTTTGTTTGTTAACAATCCTCACTTTCCGTTACCCGATTCATGTGCTCAACAATCTGACTGCGATTCCGGTTGCGCCGCAGACCAAGAAGTTCAACCTATGACTCTCCTTCGTCCTCGATCCTCGTTCCGTCTGGCGTGTCTCGACGTTCCGACGTTTATGCAGATTGGACAGCAAGCCGGTCTAGCGCGCACCCTAGATTCCCTAGACATTGATGTCTGCTGCCTTTCAGAAACCCGATTGCAAGATCCCAGCACTGTGCTTACATTGACATCCCCCACTGACCACGAAGCCAGATATCACCTGCGTCTTTCTGAAGATCCAGAAGCAGCCTCAGCGGGTTTGGCTGGTGTAGGTATAGCACTAAGTGACAAGGCCGAGGCGGCACTACTGGACTGGTTCCCGATTAATAGCCAACTGTGTTCAGTTCGGCTTCGGGGTTCATGTAGAATCAACAGGCACCGCGAAGAGAGACATAATTTGTTTGTGCTCGCCGTGTACGCTCCAACTGACTGCAGTGGCGACTCGGTCAAGGAAGAATTCTACCGGGATCTACAACAGCTCTTGACTAATGCTAAAAAGTCGGATGTCGTTATCCTTGCTGGGGATTTTAATGCACGGGTTGGCATCCTCTCACCATACGAACGCCACCTTGGTGGTCATCACGCGCTCGACGAGAACCGCTCTGACAACAGAGAGAGACTTCTCACACTGTGCGAAGACAACCGTCTGTTTCTTTCCATCACTAACTTCAGGCGTACGAAGAAGCGTTCCGCAACGTGGCGTCCCCCTTCTTCAACACAACCGTGGTCTCAAATTGATCACATTGCAATTAGCTTCAGATGGCACAGCAGCGTACTAGACTGCAGGTCCTTTTGGTCCACCTTCGTTGACTCAGACCATGCTCTGGTCTGCGCGAAAATCTGTATGTGTTTTGGAGGATCCCGAAACACGAAGCACCGCAAGATTGATGTAAACAGATTAACTGATTCCTCTGTCCAGGCGAGCTATCAATCTTCACTGGCATATGCACTCAGTTGCAATCCACCGCAAGAAGTGAAACAACACTGGACTTGTATACGGAAGGCTATGACCATTTCCGGACAGTCATGCTGCGGCCTATCTCGACGCCCTTGGAAGGCTTGGATCTCTGCTCGTTCTCTGGAGCTGTTCGAACGCCGCAAGGATATCCCCGCGGAATCAGATTGCAACGAGCAGCGCCGTTCTGCCAACCGGCTGCTCAAGCAAAGCCTACGCAAGGATCGCGAGGCATGGTGGTCTGAACGTGCTTTAGAGATGGAGACCGCTGCCCTCTCTGGCAACATTCGCAGGCTTTTCCAACTCATTCGGTTCACTGGTCTCAGGAAGCCAGGTGTCAGTGAGGTCATTTGTGAGGTGGATGAGTCTCCGATCACCAATCGACAGAGGCGTATGGACCGCTGGGCCGAGCACTTTCACTTGCAGTTCAACTGGCCTCCACCATCCATCAGTACATGCAGTACACCTTGGTGTCCACCCTGGCTCGTCCCTCTGAATATACCCAGCGAAGCGGAAGTCGGCCTTGAGATTCGACGCTTGAAGCGCTTCAAGGCTGCCGGCTTAGACAGACTTCCTCCGGAACTATTCAAATACGGCGGTGTGGCGATCATTAACCAGCTGACCGCGCTGCTCGCAAAAATTTGGCATGAGGAGAAAGTGCCTTCCTCTTGGGGCGAATCAGTTATTGTCTCGATGTTCAAGAAAGGCGCTCGCACTTCATGTGCAAATCATCGCGGGATTAGTCTTATTTCGGTTGCCTCTAAACTATTGGCATCCATTCTGCTTCGCAAGCTATCCCCAGTAGATTAATCATACTGCCGTGAAGAACAAGCTGGTTTCCGTCCTGGCCGCGGATGCGTGGATCAAATCTTCACGCTCCGCCAGCTCCTCGAACATCGCCACATATATCACCGACCCACTATCATTGCATTTCTAGACCTACGTGCCGCTTTTGACTCCGTTGATCGACCTGCTTTATGGCGGTGCTTACTAAAGAACGGGGTGCCAGAGAAATATACCGCCATCTCACGATAACTTTGCCTTCATACATCCGGCAGAGTGAGGGTCTATGGCAAGTTTTCCTCGCAATTCGCTGTCAATAGCGGTGTGCGACAGG